GACCCCAAGATCACACAAGACGATGAGGGTACATTTCCAGCTTCCCAGTATCCACATGACTGAAGTCCTGAAGATATACTACAATCTTGTATCAGAGGACAACATGACGAAGTGTCTGAAGGGGAAGACTCAGAATCCAAACGAGTCTCTACACCACCGAGTTTGGAAACTCGCCCCCAAAGACAAGTTTGTCGGTCGTGTAATGGTCGACTTCGCCATGGCAATGACAGCTGTCAACTACAACGTAGGATATGTGACGGGATCTCTGACCAGCCTCATTGGTCTACCACAGAGTGACATACGAGACTGTTACTTTCATAGGAAGAACAAGGAGATGCAGATACCAACGAAACGCACCACCAAGCCACGAAAGGCCCCTGAGGGAGCTGACCCAGGTTATGGGGCAGGGCCCTACTAGTGCCAATGCAGTGCCACCTGCAGGACCCATATTTCTGACCAATTATATTAGGTTAGTATGTTTTAGTGTTATATTGTGATATTACTTCATAAATATTTGTACATATAAAACTGGTGACAAATATTAATTTTTTTGTGTGTTTTTTTTTTAATAATATATTTTTTTTCTTTTATTAATCAGGCGATCTTCATTGAACTTGCACACCATATTGAACCCATGCCTTTCTACAAGGGTGCAAATTTTGAATGATATTGGTCAACATCAACCTCACCCACAGGTGGCTCAACTTTGACCTTTGTTTCTGCAGGTAAGGGTTTTACAACTATATCTGACTTCACAGCCTTTATTTATTATTCAATTTACATGAAACCTGCACATTATATGTAGAGTTTATGCCTCTAAAAACACATGTAGTTTTTCTTATCTACGTAGATTTATTGATTTTATAAATAATGATAAACTTCATTTTGTTGCATACGTTTTTGGGAAACTTTAAAAATCTGTATTATTGCACTAAATACATCTGGGATAAAACTCCTTGGTGCAAATCTTTATTATATAGTAAGGTCATAGCTGAGTGTCATAGAAATAATTTCGGTTCACAATTGTGGGCTGTGAAAGCAATTGAACATTGTTGGAAAATTGTCTAAAATTTTCTTTTCTTTTTTTTCTCCTTCTCTATTTAGGCTGAGATGATGAAACTTGGCCCAGTTGCAGCACCTTTCACATGTATCAGGATAATAAATTTTGAATACCCTACGACAATTTTCTTATATCCTGGTCAAATAGCCCCTTATGTGGTACTGTGTCAAAAGCTTTCTGGCAGTCCAGAAATATGCAGTCTGCCCAGCCCTCTCTCTCTTGCCTGATTTTTGTTGCCTGGTCATAGAACTCAATTAATCCTGTTAGGCATGATTTGCCATCTCTGAACCCAAGCTGATGTTGTGTTACAAAGTTCTTTTGCTCCAGATGTTCCACTAGCTTTTTTCGCACAGTCTTTTCCATCATCTTGCATGGAATGCAAGTAAGGGACACTGGCCTGTAGTTCAGTGCCTCCTGCCTATCACCCTTCTTGTATATTGGGAGTAGTAGGTATATATTGGCCGTCTTCCAAATTTTTGGCAGTTCACCTGTTACCAGTAACTTGTTGTACACCATGGAGAGTAGTAGGCACAGAGCTTCTGCTCCTTCCTTTAGAATCCATGGTGAGATTCCATCCGGGCCTATTGCCTTTGTCACGTCCAAATCTAGCAGATGCTTCCTCACCTCCCCACTGGTAATCACAAACTCCTCTAGTGGTGTCTGGGTTGGTGTTCCTCTAGGGTCTGGGTTGATGTTCCCTCCCATATCTCTGGGACTTCTCCTTGCTCTGAGGTGAAGACTTCCTGGAATTTCTTATTGAGTTCCTCGCACACTTCCTTGTTGTTTGTAGTGAATCTTTCTGCCCCTATCCTCAGTTTCATTACCTGTTCCTTCACTGTTGTTTTCCTCCTGATGTGGCTATGCAGCAGTTTGGGTTGAGTCTTTGCCTTACTCGCTATGTCATTTTTATATTGCCTCTCTTCCTCTCTTCTCACCCTGACGTATTCATTCCTGGCGCTCTGGTATCTTTCTCTGCTCTCTAGTGTTCTGTTGTTCTATAGTTTCTCCATGCCCTTTTACTTAGCTGCTTTGCTAGTTTGCAACTCTGATTAAACCATGGGTTTCTCATCTCCATTTCATTTTTTCCCTTTTGGACTGGGACATACTTGTCTGCTGCCTCCTTACACTTCTGCGTGATGTAGTCCATCATGTCTTGAACCGTCTTTCCTCTGAGCTCTGTTTCCCAAGCTATTTCAGTTAGGAATTTTCTCATCTCCTCATAGTTTCCCTTCTGGAATGCCAGCCTCTTGTTTTCTGGTCCCTTCCTTGAGTACATTAACCCTTCTTCGACCAGATATTCAAACAACAGTACACTGTGATCACTCATACCCATGGGGGCTTCAAGACCGATTTCCCTTATATCTGAATCGTTCGGAGTGAATACTAGGTCGAGTCTTGCTGGTTCATAATTGCCTCTCATTCTCGTGGGACCCTTGACATGCTGACTTAAAAAAAGTTTCTAGTCGTCACCTCTAGCAGTTTCGCTCTCCATGTTTCCTCACCTCCATGTGGTTCCCTGTTTTCTCAGTCTATCCTTCCATGATTAAAGTCCTCCATGATGAGCAGATGGGATCGGTTTCTACAGGCAGCAGCAGCTGCTCTCTCAATGATAATGTTAACTGCCATGTTGTTTCTGTCATACTCTTGCCTGGGTCTTCTTTCATTTGGTGATGGGTTATATATCATTGCTACTACTACTCTTGGTCCTCCCATCGTCATGGTACCTGTTACGAAATCTCTGAACCCTTCGCAGCCCGGAACAACCATCTCCTCGAAACTCCATTCCTTTCTCATTAGTAGAGCCACTCCGCCTCCTCCCCTTCCTTCCCTCTCTTTCCTTATTACAGTGTAGTCCTAGGGAAACACCGCATTCGTTATGATTCCTGAGAGTTTGGTTTCTGTGAGTCCAATTACATCTGGGTTTACTTCTTGTGTTCTTTCCCTAAGTCCACTGGCCTTTTTTGTAATCATGTACATGTCATGTACAAGGTCATGTACACTATGTTCGTGTACATGACCTTGAAGCTGACTCTCTTCTGTCCATTCTCAGTTTCTGTTGATTCCACTGGAGTTCCCAGACAAGGGATGTCTGGGATGGGCGAGTCTAGGAAGGAGGACCTGGGGGGGTCTGGGGTGTGAGAGGTTTGGGAGGATCTGGAACAGGGGGGCTAGGGGGGCTCTGACGAGATGCGGCTGAGGGGAGTCCGGGGTTGGGGGTTAGTGGGGGCATGGGATGGGGGAACTGGAGGGGCATGTGGTGGGAGGTCACGGGTTGGGGTATGCAGGGTAGACTAGGGGTGGGTTGACAGGGAGGTCAGGGGTTGGGGAGGGGAGGGGAGCCAGGGGAAGGGGGGCCAGGAGGGAGGGGGGTGTGGTAGGGAGAAGAGCTTGGGGTGGGGAAACTGGGAAGGGCACAGGCTGGAGAAACAGGGAAAGGCATGGGGTGCAGGAACAGTGAGGGGTCTGGGGTAGGGGCTGGGGAAGAAAAAGGGCATGGGGGGAACATGGGGGTGGGGGTCTGGGGTCAGGGAACATGGGTGGCATGGTCTGAAGGGGGACTTTACTGTCTTGGGAGGTGCAGGTGATTGGTGGGGGATGGCTGAGGGGTTGGTTGGTGGGAAGCTTCTGTTACAATCCTCCCTGGGGATGCTGGCCTGCTGGTGGGGGGATTGCCACTCCCATCTGAGGTTCCTGGAGGCACTGAGCTGAGTCCTGTGGCTCCCATATCTCCATCCCTTTCTCTGCGTCTCCTCCTTGCCTCTGCAGCCTTCCTTCTCTCCTCCCTTGTCATGTCCCTTTGCAGAAAGACGTCCTCGTATCCTCCCCTAACTTCACAAGTCTGCTCTTCCTGGATAGGATTTTCTCCTTTGTTGCCTCGTTCGTGAGCACTACCTTTATCAATCGTTTCCTTTCCTTCTTGTAGACGCTCAGCCTGAAAACCTTCTCTATGTTGCCATTTGCCTCCTCCATATCCAGTCCCTCCAAGATCTCTGTCATGGTTGCTCGGTCCCTCCTTCTCCACTCCTCCCGATTGGATCCCTCTGGTTCCTGTACTCCTACAACTATAATTGTTCGTTTCCTTTCCTTGTCTGTGGTCTTCTTTGTCCAGTGTTTTACTATAATAATTCAACAGTAGATTTTATTCACACTTTATTATACATAATGGATTAGTTAGAAAATGGAAACACAGGATAATACTAAAGGCAGTAGCACATATTAGTACAGTGGATAGCTACAATTATATTAATATGGATAAAGTATTAAGTTAGTACATTATCACAGTCACTAATACACATATAGTGTATCATTTATAATAAGGCCAGCGTCTTATACTCGACCTGTAACCTAAACTTCAAATCATCTTTCCTAATTACAGTGACTTAAATTGTTTTATTATTTGGTTTTAAATTGATCTATTTTGCGCAAGTAATAAAGGTAGACAGGTAAAATGCGAGTCATTTAACTACGTATTTGTGTTACACTGAGCTGTGAGTGTTAGCATGGGGACCCCTGAGGCTCCTCGACTGCTCTCAGTAACATCAGCGTCCTTCCCTCTACGTGTTTTACCTTGTTATTGGTCATTATATCAATCATAATAATTAATAAAGATGCTTATAATAATATTTAGTTGCACAATTAAAGTTTCACATGTTTCGGACGTTTTAATTGACCTGGTTTAGTTGAAACACGCAAAGGTCCAGGGGCCAGATTCACGAAGCAGTTACGCAAGCCCTTACGAACCTATACATCTTTTCTCAATCTTTGGCGGCTTTGTTTACATTTATTAGACAGTTATTGGGCTCCAAAGCACCAGGAGGCTGTTTAAAACAATAACAACAATTGATTGGGAAGTTTTCATGCTTGTAATGACAAGTAGCCCTAGGGTCGGAACCTACAACCTTGAAATTTAGCGATATCAATTTTATTTGATGCCCTACAGGTCTACGCCAGAAACCAAGGTAACTCCCATCTGGAGAACTGGGAGGTGGAGCCTGCCAGGAGCACAGCGCCCCACTACACAGTCCTCTACAACATCACCACCTACGAGGAGTTCTGGGAGCCCATCCTGGTCCTTCCCTACACCGCGCCGCCCTTCGACGAACGCTTCATCGGCTACGGCTTTACCAGGAACAGTCAGGTAATCCTTCGTCAGCGTCTCTGCACACTTGCTATTGTGGACATAAAATGCGAGCATTGGGTATTATCACGTAGTGTCTACCCAGGGTTGACACGTCCTAGATGTAAGCGATATAAGGGGGGGGGGGGGTCCTTGGTGCATTTGTTTGTAGCTGACCTGTGATGTTGTGTGCCGGGTGTTCCAGGTGTATGAGCTACACTGCCGGGGCTACAAGTTCCAGGTGCTGGACCAGGCCTTCCTCACCCACCGAGGCTTCCAGACCACAGCCTCCTACACCCCCACACGCTTCGCTCAGATTGAGGTATGCTGCGGTGGCTGCTTTGTTGGTTCCTCGCATGCTCCTCCCTCCCCCTGTCTGGTGTCAGTGACAGTGTCTGATGTCAGTGTCTTACGTTAGTGTGTCATGTTAGAGTCAGTGTCTCTACTCTAGATGTCAGAGACACCTCTTACTGACGTAAGAGGTGTCTTACGTCAGTGTCGGTGTTTGAGAATAATTATTAGAATTATCATAATAATAGTGAATAAATATCTGTATATAGAGTGGACCCTGATAATGAGATCAATAATTATGCCTGTGGCTGGCCTAATGCCTCTCTCCCCGTGACCTGTCAGATCAACAAAGTGCGCTACCAGATGTTCAAGAGGGAGGTCCACGCGCGTCTGGGCCTCGCCCCTCCTCCAGCCCTCAAGAGTCCGCCCCTCCGACAACAGATCCCAGCCCTCATAGCCCGCAGACCACGCTTCCGCCTCCCACCTCCCAGGATCGTCGCCGTCCCCAGGAAACACCCTCCCACCCAGCCCAAGGACGTGAAGACTTGAAACCTCAGGAGTGGTGGGAGGAGCTTGAGAGAGGCGTAAATTTGGAGGCTTAAGCGTTAGTGGAGGGGAAGCATTAGATGGGTATTATTATTATTAACATCTTTATTGACAAATTCAATTACAATTTTGCCTAATCTGAGGATTTCGATTAAGTCTTATTAAAGTGAGGATAATGCTGGTATTCACTGTCACGCAGGACAGAGGGTCATACACAAGACAATAGGTCTAAACTGTAGGCTGAAGCACATATATATCATGATTACAATCAATGTTTTAATGTATGGATATGTGAAAACAACTTTCTATTGTGCACTGCCACACAAGGGCAGGGATGGGTTCATAAGTGATGCAGCTTAGAAGTATTATAGATCAAAATTGTTCTTCATTCTTTAAAATGGACAAGCAAATTTTGAATAAATTGTTAGGATGTCGTCCAGAACACTTGAGTCAATGAAATAGTTACACAGTTGGTGGTACAATAGGCCAGGAGGTCTAAAGTCTTTTACGGTTTTACATTCAACAATATAGTGTTCTAGTGAGTGGTTTAGGTTTATCACAGAGTTTACTATCTGAGTATTCTGGTAGTGGCTCAGCCTCACTAACCTGCCAGATGTGCCTATAGCCAAGGCGAATTCGCGCGATGACTACATCACATTGCCTGGTCCGGTTACTGTACTGACCATACAAATACCTATTATTACAAAACTTGTCATAACTTTTAATACTGCAGCTTTCAGGTCTCTGGGCATTTCTTAGTTCTTCTAAATCTGAATTAATTTCTTTAATTTGTATGTTTCTAATAACTGCATTAGATAGTCCAAAGTCATAATCAATGTTTTCTTTCCTGCAAGCCTCATTGGCCAATCGATCTACAAAG